CTAATACATGAGCAGGGTGGCATTATGAGGAAGCTGAAACTATGAGGTAGAGCCAAGACACAGAAAGGGGAAGGGGATGTTAAAGGAAGGGAGAATGAGACAGCATCTGAGCCAAGTTAATGGCAGAGCGCTATAGTGTGCTGGTCCTGGCGCCTAGAGGTCCACTAGAAACTGGCTGTTTGTTCTCAGATTCTCTTAACATCATAGTGCTATTTACTGCCCCATAAATACTCACCATGGATCCTGCTTCAGCTGAGCTAGCCTAAGTATCTATTCCTTACAACCAATGAGACTAAATGAAACAATAGTTTTCTGTAGTAAAATGTTCTTTAAAAAACTCAACAGAATAATAGTAGTTATCACTACCTGAAAACTGGTGAAAAGACATCAAAAAGTTATTGACCAAAGAAGACATCTATGTGGAGAACCAAGTATAAGTTTTTCAGACTCCCTAGTGGTCAAAATATACAAATGAAAACTTCATTCTTATTCACCTGTCAAACTGAGGAATTCTTTTTAAAATCATACTATCTATTTTATGTGAGGTTATTCATATGGACTGTCAGTACACTTGTAAATTGGTTAAATTAACTTGTAGGCCCTTTCACAATATACATTTAAAATTCATAAGATTTTTCAAACTTTTAGACGTAGCAATTTCAATTCTTGAAATTTTTCCTTAGGGAGTAACTATGATTTTGTGCAAAGAATTTAGTGATGGCTTGGCTTATGATAGAAAAAAAATATAGAGGAAACCTAAATATTAAGCAACAGAGAATTGACTTAATTACTGTTAATTTTAACATGATGAAATACAGTAAGAATAGGTTGAGTTATCTTAAAAATGTGTATTTCATTGTTTTGTGTGTGTAACCCAGATAAACAAATGAATTTGGAAAATATATAAGAATTATAGACATAAAATTTTAAAAATCCATATTATCATAAAACTTATATACTGATAAGATTAAATACTTTGTTATGATTTTTCCCCCACTAACATTGCAACTTATGTTAATATGCTATGAAGTAGGGATCTAAATATTTCATAGGTAAATTTGACTAGGTAGGATTTCACTTGATATGCTGACTTTAGAATCCAGCCAGATGCAACTCCATTGCACTAACACATCCAGTCAGGGATGATAATTGAGAAGAAAAGTCTGGAAGAGACCTGTGGATTTGTGTTGACAACACCTAGTAAGCACCTAATTAATATTTACTAATAATGAGGGAATAATATATATGTTTGAGAGTCATCAGATAAATGGAGTGTAGATTTTTGAGGGTTTTCCTTCTATATGTATTTTTGAATATAACTAAGATAATTTTATACATATTGTTTTATAGCCTGCTTTTAAATAATAATATTTTTGTGTTTATTTGTAAAAGTAAAGAATTTTCACTGGAAAAAAAGTCAGGGAACTATAGATAAATGCTATTTGTCAAGCAGAGCCAGAAATAAAATATTTTCTTTTTCTCTTCATGTGTATTTCTAAAAGAATTGAGTTCCAGGCGGAGGGGGCAGCGCCTGGGTGGCTCAGTCAGTTAAGCGTCTGATTCTTGATCTCAGCCCAGGTCTTGATCTCAGGGTTGTGACTTCAAGCCCTGTGCTGGGCTCCACACTGGGCGTGGAGCCTACTTAAAAAAAGAAAAAAGAATTGGTGAACTGGTAACTAAAACTATTTTATAATCTGCTTAAAATATATTATTGCTGGGTGCCTGGGTGCCTCAGTCATTAAGCGGCTGCCTTCATCTCAGGTCATGATCCCAGGGTCCTCGGATCCAGCCCCGAATCAGGCTGTCTGCTCAGCAGGAGGCCTGCTTCTCTTTCTCCCACTCCCCCTGATTATATTCCCTCTCTCATTGTGTGTCTCTCTCTCAAATAAATAAATAAAATCTTTAAAAAAACTTTTTAAAATATATTATTGCTAACAATATTACTCTTTATGGCAAAACATTGTCTTAGGAAGAAAGGTTTCTCACCAGGTAAAATTTAGGGAAGAGATTCCTCCCTTTCCTATGTATGACTAGTGTTACAGCTTGACTATCTCAAACTTAGATTGAAGAAGGCATAGTCAGAAAAATAAGAAGGGGCGCCTGGGTGGTTCAGTGGGTTAAAGCCTCTGCCTTCGGCTCAGCTCATGATCCCAGGGTCCTAGGATCGAGCCCCGCATCGGGCTCTCTGCTCAGCGGGGAGCCTGCTTCTCCCTCTCTCTCTGCCTGCCTCTCTGCCTACTTGTAATCTGTGTCTGTCAAATAAATAAATAAAATCTTTAAAAAAAAAAAGAAAAATAAGAAGAGTCTCATTTTAATGCATACTAGTCACAAACAAGGCAAGAGAACCAAATATGAAGAATTCCACCATTGCAAGGACCTTAAAAAGGTAGTGGAGCTCTTAAATCAGATCCTACTCCACTACAGAAGAAGTATATATGTGAAATATTTGCTATGAAATAAGATTGCACTGTTTACAGACTACTCTTTATTATAGAAGTTACACACCCCCACTGAGAAAATGTAAAAGAATCCACAAAGAAGTATATAAAAAGAGAGCACAAATCACCCATAAGCCCACCAATCATCCAATCATACCCATTTTTAATATTTTGGTGTATATTGTTCCATAATATTTGCTATGTATGCATACATATAAGTAGCTATACACATATTACTTTTTAAAATTAGATCCTCTGCAAGTTATATTTTGTAACCTGCCTTTTTCACACACCAATATATTATAAAAACACTTCCATTTAAATAAACTATGGTTAACAAGGTATTTTATTTCTTCTGCATGTTTACAAAGGTTTCTCTCATTTTTCTGAATATTATTAATTAATACATGACTATTAAAGATAAAATTTAAATATATAAACACAACACTTAGAAGGTAAAAGTTGCCTTTATATTAAATGTTCATTCTCAAATATATCCTGTGAGAATAGTTCAGTGTATATTCATTCACATTTCTACTATGATATAGAAACACAATAAGACCCCACAATAAGATGGCATTAGATATAATATAGTGGGTGATGGGGTATGGGGAAAGGCAGAAATAGAAGGATGACATTTAAGCACCAGTGTAGAGTAAACAACTGTTACAAGGTGGCCTCAGAACTCAGTGGAGTCCCTGAGGGATTTGGATTTTGCACCCAGCTAACCAAAGAGGCTCACATCATTCATTCATCTCTCAATAACACAACCTGAAATTTTATAGGAATTAATTTTGTGGACTATAAGTATGTTATGGTGCAATTTAATTATACGCTCATATTTTATTTTATTTTATTTATTTTTTTAAAGATTTTATTTGTTTATTTGACAGAGATCACAAGTAGGCAAAGAGGCAGGCAGAGAGAGAGAGAGGGAGGCAGGCTCCCCGCTGAGCAGAGAGCCTGATGCGGGGCTCGATCCCAGGACCCCGAGATCATGACCCGAGCCGAAGGCAGAGGCTTAACCCACTGAGCCACCCAGGCGCCCCATATGCTCATATTTTAAATGCTCCCAAATAAATATATGTATGTTGTGACAGAAATGTAGTTCTAGATATCTTAACTTTCAATTTGCCTTTTTTAATTTATATGTATGCATAATATAATGGTTACTTTCCATTTCTAAATGGTACATACCATTGGTGTAGTTTGAATTGTTTTAACAGAATGCATGACTTTTGCCTTCTTTATCCCCTATCAAAATAATCTGGGAGAATCTTTGGCTCATGAGAATGTGCACACACGTGTGTGAGTGTGCACGTGCACATGCTTGGGTACATATCTGCTATTGCCTAGAACAATTCTCTCTCTGTGTTCCTTCATTGCTGCTTTTCATTTGGGGCTTCTCTTTGTATATCCAAGTCCAAGTCAAAGGACTGATGCTAGGAATTCAGATCTATGGACTTTGGTGTGGCAAATCATTGTGACTACCAATAAATATTTTCTTAGGATGGGTACCTAAAAATGGCTTTATAGGCTCAAGAGAATGCGTATTTCAAATACTTAGCAATTGCTTAAGTAAGTCCTGTCCAGAAAGGTTGACCAATTCAGATTCCATGACCTGGAAATAGGTGAGAAAATCCTTGGGGGTAAGTGCAGAACATGTCACAAAGTCCTTACACTGACACTGCTTTCAGATGATAGCCACTGGCAATAGAATTAAACCCCCCTAAGGAGGAGCAAGAAGACTTCTACCCAGCAAGGCAGCATGAGACAGGCCACAAGGCCTAGGTTCAGTCCGACTGCTATTCTTTCCTGCCCACCCTCCGTCTAGGTCCTGCCCACCCTCTGAGGCTCAGGTCAAGTTTTTTTTTGTTTGGTTGGTTGGTTGGTTTTTTTCGTTTTGTTGTTGTTGTTGTTGTTGTTTTTGTTTTTGTTTTTGTTTTTTTCCCTGCTTGAAGCTTTCTCTGACTATTTTGGGCTAACTGGTCATTGACTTCTCTGAGTTCCTGTTGGCCTGGCCATCCACTCTTTCCTTTAGATTTCTTGAAATAGCCTCGTGTGAAGTAGCCTTTTCAGCTATCTCACTGATTCTACCTTTAGTGTGAACCCACAGGGAATGTGACCCACTCTCAGGATAGACTTAGAGAAGAGGCACAAGTGGGACTTGGATTTGGGCTCCAAGTCCTTTGGGCAGAATATTCTAGGGTCTTAGGTATCTAGAGTGTGGTCTAGAAGGAAATAAATGAAGGCTCCATGTAAACACATCTTGCCCCACTGAATCTTCACTACCTGGGGAAGAAGCCATCCAGAAGAGGGTCAGATGCTGACCCTCTAAAAGTGGGCCCTTGGGCTGAGGCCTTTTCTGCTCAGATATAAGGAGACAATGCCTTTGGGCATATTGTTTTAATTCTTTGTTTAGAATAGGAAATGTATATATATATATGTATGCATAATGGAAATGAATTATATAAAATAGAAATGGAAAATATCTTCCTTGTGGTTGGTTGGTTTGAGAATATAAAATGAGATAATGGCAGTAAAGCATCTTTCACTTTTCAGGACATTCTAAGGATTTCTGGAACTATTTTCTTCAAGCTAAAGGAAAGCAGCTGCTATTCAGGATGTTTCAGTTTTCCTATGGACAATATATTGAAATGTTTTACCAATCACAATCTTCTTTCTAAAGTTCTGAGAGCTTGCCTGTGCTCTCCTGTTTGGTAGGTAAGGCCAGTACAGGGAGAGTGACTTAGTAAGGGTCACACAATCTAGGTCTGGCACTGGAACTAACATCTGTCACACCAGTATTCTGTCTGGCAGGTCTGAACCATTTTATCTTGGGTTTTGTGTTACTCAAATACACATGCTTCCCAGAAAATAGAAAAAATGTGACAGAAGGGCAAGTGAAATAAAAACAACATGGGGTGAAGGTTTTTTTCTTTCTACAAAATCTGTTGAGCTCTTTATTCTGCCTCACAAAGGGGCACTCGAACTGATACAAAACAAAAATACATGTATGTCTCCTGTTATCTTTTAAATGTTGCCTCTGAGAACTATGTAATTTGTATTGGCAAATTTGTGACTTACACTAAAGACTGAAGTGAGGCTGAAAGGTAATCTATATCTGTTGAAGGTAATATGAGCCAGGTATCATTTAGAATTCCCAAAAGTCAGTTTTATGAGGTGTACCCTTATTATGTCCTTTCACATGAGGAAACTTGGGATCATAATATGTACCTGACAGTTGATGATTCTGCAGGCAGTACAGCTGCCGGGGAAATACCGCCATCAGGACTTGGAAGTGAAACATTATTTTCTTTTTTTAAAAAGTTTTATATTGGGGTGCCTGGGTAGCTCAGAGGGTTAAGCCTCTGCCTTCATTCAGCTCAGGTCACGGTCCCAGGGACCTGGGATGGAAACCCACATCAGGCTCTGTGCTCAAGGGGAGCCTGTTTCTTCCTCTCCCTCTGCCTGCCATTTCCTCTGTTTGTGCTCTCACTGTCAAATAAATAAATAAAATCTTTAAAAACAAAAGTTTTGTATCATTTTCCCCAAATGAAATCCCAGTATAATTATAATAATAGCTTGCACTTTTATTTTTTATTTTTTAATTTTTTTTAAAGAAATAGCTTGCACTTTTAGAACCCTTACAATAGGCCAGGGAACTATTCTCAGGACTGTACATGTGTTAAGTCATTTAACTAATGTAATTTTGCTTTTGTCTTTTCTGACTATAACAAAAATGTTACTTTTGTTTAAGAAAAGAATGTACAAGTATTGAGAATAAAGTGAAAACTAAATTTAAAAATGTCACTCCTGTCCCAGGCTCCTTTTTTTTTTTTTTAAACACACCCCGCTGCCAAACCGACCCTGTTCCACAACAGCCAGGAACCAGACTGCAGATGAAATGGAGTCTAGGGGAGGGGCGATGGATGTAGGAGTTCTGTCCTTCGAGCTGAAGGCACCGAAGTGACAATTCTTAAAAGAAATAGAAAAGTTTAGTAGCTCCAGAAAAAAAGATGCAGCCCCTCCCTAGTAGTCACAGAAAGACGAATAATATTTTGCCCTCCGGGATAGGCAACAATAACAAAGAATGACAAGCCAGATGTATTGGGGGGGCGGGTATAGGCGGGCCTACTTCTGCCGCGCTTTTGGTGGGAGTGGAGATTGGGGACCGGAGCTCACTGGTGACGTACAATTCACGTGACCAGGAGTCGACGTGTGCAGAAGTCCTGCTAGTCTGGTCCTTGTTCCCGTCTGGGTACCAGGTTTCCTTTAGCAGTGCAGACGGTGGAGCCTGACGCCAGGGAAAAGAGGAGCCAACTTCTCGGAATTTTGCAGGTTGGTGTCAAAATAGGTACTGCTTGGGGATTTCTAGGGTGGGAGTGGCCTAGGGCAGAAACTTGTGAGGGAGCCCAGGTCAAAACCATCCTTCCACCGCCCTCCTCCAAGTCTGCAGGGAATGATGACCCTTGGGAAAGGGACTAGGAGTCCCGGGAGAAGGACAAGGAGACCTGTGATTGTTTAAAAAATAATCATCCTCTGCCACTTCAGACCGCTTTCCCAAGACCTACCCTCCCCCGCCAACCCGCGCCTCAGTCTTAAAGATAGTTTGGAAATAATCTGTTTTTCCTACTCCTTGTCTGATGGGAAATTCGAGCTAACTTGCACTGTGGGGCGAGGAGAGAAGTGGGAGAAACAGAAAGTGGGGAAGTTTTCATAACCAAATACCTTAATGAGGAAAAAGGTACGAGGTGCGGGTGGGCCCACCAAGCTCTCGCCCCTCCCCCACCCTCCCCCCCTTTCTCCAACCCTCGCTCTTCCCCTAGCGTTTCCCGTTTGTCCGCAGGTCTGCAGGTCTGTCGTTCCGAGCACTACACAAGGCTAGAAAAGGGGAGGAAGAAACCGATCGGATCAGTACAGGTAGGTGAGGGGAATGTTTTAAAGACCCCTGAGGTGGAGTGGGGCGAGGGTGGGACAGAGGTTGTGCGCTCCACTGTTCTACCCCACCCCCACCCCATCCCCATCCCCCTACGCCTGTTCTCCCTACCCATTCCGTTCTAGGAGGATTTTGCGTTTTGCCTTATGCGAAGAAATTGTTGGGGAGGGCCTTGAAAAGGGCTGGAGGGAGGGAGGAGAGAGAGGTAAGGAGGTGGAACGTGGAGGTTAGAACCTCAGGCTCAGGGAAGCCCTGATTGCTAATTAAGTCTCTCAAGTGGAAGATATTTAATGATAGCTCTGAATCGAAGAAAGTAAATGCTGAGACTTCTGTCTAGAGCACTGGTTCATTCACCAAGCCTTTGACTTAACGGTCACCTTGCTTTCTAGAAGTAATTGTATTCAAAGAGGAATAAAGCAGGAAAAAAGAAAGGAAGAGGAAAGGAAAGAAGGAAGAAAGAGAAACTCACAAGATGAAACCCTGTCAAAAAATTGAAGGAAAACCAGAAAATGAGAGTGAACCAAAGCTTGAGCAAGAGCCAAAGCCTGAGGAAAAGCCAGAGGAGGAAGAAGAGCCAGAGGAGGAGGAAAAAACAGAAGGAACTTTTAGAGAGAGGCTGATTCAGTCTCTCCAGGAATTTAAAGAAGATATACACAACAGGCATTTAAGTAAGGAAGATATGTTTAGAGAAGTGAATGAAATAGATGAGATAAGGAGAGTAAGAAACAAACTTATAGTCATGCGTTGGAAGGTTAACCGAAGTCATCCTTATCCCTATTTAATGTAGTTTGCCTTGATTTTAATTTTTTCTGATATTAACATTGTCATATTGCTTTCTTTTGATTTTCATTTTCCTGATATACCTTTGTCCATCTTTCTACTTTTAACTTGTTGCTATTAGTGATTTTAGATGTATCTCTTGTTAATCTGCATCTCATTGTTTATCATATTTTGAACCAATATACAAGTCTCTATCTTTAGGAGAGCTTTACTCATTTGTACAAAAAGAGGTTCCTAACAGGATATAAAATGAAAAAAGGTTACTTGGTAATATGTAAATGTCATATTTTTGAAAGGAAGACTACATCTGTATATTACATATATGCACAAAAAAATTGTGAAGGATGAAAGACAAAAAGTGTAGTCAGTGGTAGGATTATGAGTAATTTTTTATCCTGCTTATTTGTATTTTTCCTTATTCCTAGAATGTACACACATTATTGCTAAAATAATAAAAGTTTTATAACAAAAAAGAAGTGATCTACAGGACTCAATCAATTTATTTCTAAAGGTACTGGGGCACTTAATATATGTTGACAGAATTTTAGAAGCAAACGTGAACTCCAGGTTACCACCAGACCACTACTTAGCTAGAAGAATAAGTTTTTTGTATCTTTTCTCATCCATAAAATAGAGATAATAATCTCTAAGGGATCATGTGAGGACCAAATAAGGTAAGGACTGTGTGCTCTATTTTAACAGGTTATTTCCCCCATCTGCCCAGGTAGGATCCCAACTCCCAAGGGCTTTGTATCAGCTATTTGGAATGATGGATAAAGCAGTTCTTATCCGAGTTTAAGAATAAATCCATGCAGGGGCGCCTGGGTGGCTCAGTGGGTTAAGCCTCTGCCTTCAGCTCAGGTCACAATCCCAGGGTCCTGGGATCGAGCCCCGCATCGCATTGGGCTCTTTGCTCAGTGGGGAACCTGTTTCCCCCTCTCTCTCTGTCTGCCTCTCTGCCTACTTGTGATCTCTCTCAATGTCAAATAAATAAATAAAATCTTAAAAAAAAATCCAGGCAGCTGTTAGGTGGGTGCCCCATTGTTTCCTGTGGTGCCTGCTCCACCTCCCTTTCTTCTCCCCTTGTTATTATCATGTATATTGGGTAGTTTGTCCCTGTCATCCAGGCCCCTACCTATCTGCTCATGATGTTCTGGATTTCTCAAATAGTGAAGCCCAGTTGGGTGAAGCCTCAGACTGACCTATGACCTACAGAAGTGGGAAGAATGTCCATTTTTTTCAGTTTAGATAGATAGTTATACAGGGCAACTTGGGCCATGATATCTTACAGATATCTCGACAGGTTGAGGAATTTTAGCCACAAGCCCGAACTTCCCCCATAAGACTGATACGATGGGTCAATTTGGGGATTGGACCAGAAGGCAAGTTTGAGTAACAGACGTTATGCTTTAGTCAGAATTGCTTCACTTTGAGTCTAAAGATGATGGTTTTATCTTCTGGTGGTTTCCTTAGGGTGAGTGATCTCTCCCAGATGACTGGTGGCAGCCCTCTTTGCCAGTTTAACAGATGCCTCTAGACCTGTGTAAATTTTAAAGGGAGGTTTAAGTCAGATTTGGGGATACTGCCCTCCTTGCTTGGAAATGCAAAAGTGCTATTGAAGCCTAAATCTGTATATGTATCTACCTATATATATCAATGGCTCATAGTTTTTCCAGTTGTGTGTTATTTTATTTTTCCTCTGATACTCTTTTTGGGTCAATTCATGACTCCAGACTATTCTTCAAGGCTGCAACAGCCTGATGGATGCTGGTCGGGCTGGATTCTGACTGGAGTGAGATAAACTTGCAGCAGCCCACTGCCAGTTTGACAAGACAGGGTAAATCCATTCAAACCCCCCCCCCCGCCTGTGACAGAGGGACAGTGTTCAAGTAGTATGCGGAAAGGCTCACCCAAGTTACATTTCTCTTGATTTTGGTTTCTCTGCTCTAGCCTGCAGCGGGCACCACACTCTCTGAGGCTGGTGGCCAAATTGTCCTGGACACACTTACCTGGAGGATGACGACTGTCCCTGTAGCAGGTCAGAGCACTAGACTTAGTTTCTCCCTTTTTATCTTCACAAGGGGGCTTGACGAGAATTTTTTATGGGAGAGAAGATAAGACCTCAAAGTGGACTAACTAAAAACATTGGTTGAGATAGTCTGTCCCTGCCGGGACTCCTGTGGATGCAATCAGCTTGAGATTTAATCAGAGGGCCTGATGGTGGGTAGGGATGATTTTAGATAGTACCCAAATATATTGTGATATTCATGTGTTTATTTGAATGTGAATTAATAAATGGTCTGTTGCAGGCAAATGATGATAGTATAGATTTAGCACAGTATAAATTTTCCTTCTCAAAAAAGTATTCAAATTAAGTCACCAAGTCAATTTGAAGACAGACATGAAGTAAAACACAATACTAAGAGCACAGGCAGTACACAGACAGCAAAAATCCTAGTGGGAAACATTGCACTAACATAACTGATTTAGGGGTAATACCTGGAACTTGTCAAGAATTAGGTGATCTGGGGTGCCTGGGTGGCTCAGTGGGTTAAAGCCTCTGCCTTTGGATCAGGTCATGATCTCAGGGTCCTGGGATCAAGCCCCACATCGGGCTTTCTGCTCAGCGGGGAGCCTGCTTCCTCCTCTCTCTCTCTGCCTACCTCTCTGCCTACATGTGATCTCTGTCTGTCAAATAAATAAATAAAATCTTTAAAAAAAAAGAATTAGGTGATCTGGGATTTTACCCTACGTAAATTCAACAAGTTAACCTCCTATTGTTTAATGGATACTGGCAGAAGACACGAGAATCCTGGGTCAGAGACAAAGGACATTGTTACTCATGGCAAGAGCCATAGCCAGAGCTTAATGTTGGCTTGTATTAGTTCTCCATGATCCTCAAGTCCTATGGGGTGACACAGGCCCTTTTATGTATGTCTGCACATGCAGGGCATTGTGTAACAGGAAAGAAACCCTGTGCTTGGAGAATTCATTGCTTTCATTGTAAACAGAAACAAGCCTGCTCTGTATCCAGGGAAGATGTTACCTCATTTATCAAAGTTACTTGTGGCAAACACAACTCTGAGACATGGCCTGCCTGTATAAAGAGTGGTCAGGGTCTTACATTCTTTGTATATGCAATAAAAATGTGCAGGGATGATCAAGATCCAAGGTGGATTGACTTCCAGTAACAGTTTTCTCTGTGCAATAAATCCTAATGTGAATGGTAAGTCTTTCTTAACAGCACAAATTTGGATTTATAATTCCAAGTTAAATAAAGTAGATAATGCATTATACGGTTGAGTGTAAACAGGGCATTTGTAACTTTCCAACTTTTACATAATACATAGGATTTTGAATGAATCCTAATAAACTTAAAAGAAAACTAAGAAACTAAAAGTAAATAGTCTATGAGGAACTTTAAAGTTACAATAAGACATAGCTACCATGATCAACAAAATAAAAGGAGCAAGATGATTTATCATGATGCTAATGAAGGAGTAATCTTATGCAAAATTTTTCACTGAGAAACTGACAGGAAGAGTGTGTGTTTGAAAATTAGCCTCAGATCACATACACACATAGACACCACACCTCTATGAAAGGAAAAGGCAAAAGTCAAGAGAAAAGCTGATCTGTTCCCTCTGCAAGGAAAGTTCAATGTAGGGTTAAGGTTGATGGAGGGTGGGGACTCTCATAACAGTGTCCAAAAGCAGTTATTTGATACTCTGACACCAGCGTTTTGCAAGAGTCTTAGCAAAAACAGCTGAACCATTGGATGGATAATTTAGTTGTGTATGGAGCATCTTTTTGTGTGCTTATTGGCCATTTTTACATTTTACTTTGAGAAATGTCTATTCAAATATGTTGCCTGTACCCCCATCAATATTTTCAGTATAGTGTGGGTAAGGAATCTTTAAAGGAATAAGGTAGATCCATATGTACTACACATTAACCAGCCATGATTAAAAGAAAAATGAAAGATAAGAGGTATAGAATAAAAATATATACACACAAATACATACCCATCTCCACAAATAATTAAATAATAAATTCCCTTTAGCTCACTAAAGGGAATGATCATGTCTTTTTAAGTGGCATTTTGATATCTCACCATACCTCCTTCTAGCTCTAGCTGGTTGTTTAAGAAATAAATATTTTAAAAATTTTCTCCTAATGGATAATTCTATTATCCTTGCTTTGTAACTGTCAAAATATTTTCTTGAACTTACAGAGTCCTTTTTCCCTTCAATGAACTTTTAGTCCTTTCCCAGGTATTGTATCATTAGCCTACTATTTTTTCTCTTCTAAGATTTTATTTAAATTCAAGTTAGTTAACATAGAGTTTAGTATTGGTTTCAGGAGTAGAATTTAGTGACTCATCACTTCCATGTAATAACAAGTGCTCATCACAAGTGCCTTCCTTAATGCCCATCACCCATTAACCCATGCCCCCACATACCTCCCCTCTAGCAAGCCCCACATACCTCCCTTCTAGCAACCCTGTTTGTTCTCTATATTTAAGAGTCTCTTTTAAAAAAATATCTATTTGAGAGAGAGAGTGAGCAGGGGGAGGAATAGAGGCAGAGGGAGTGGGATTCTCCAGCAGACTCTGCACTAAGCACTGACCCAGACTTGGGGCTCAGTTCCAGGGCCTTGAGATCATGACCTGAGCTGAAATCAGGAGTCAGACACTTAACTAACTGAGCCACCCAGGCTCCCTTTATTTAAGAGTCTCTTATGCTTTGCCTACCTCTCTGTTTTTATCTCATTTTTTTCTTCCCTTCCCCTATGTTCATCTGTTTTGTCTCTTAAATTCTACATATAAGTTAAATCATATGGTATTTGTCTTTCTCTGACTGACTTTCCATGTCATTGCAAATGACAAGGTTTCATTCTTTTTGATGGCTGAGTAATAGTCCATTGTATACATATACCACATCTTCTTTATTCATTCATCAGTCGATGGATATCCGGGCTCCTTCCATAATTTGATTATTTTTGATAGGGCTGCTATAAACATCGGGGTCCTTCAAATTAGAATTTTTGTATCCTTTGGACAAATATGTAGTAGTGTAATTCCTGGGTCATAGGGTAGTTCTATGTTTAACTTTTGGAGGAAACTCTATACTGTTTTCCAGAGTGACTGCACCAGTCGTTAGCCCACTATTTAATAAAAAAGGAAAGTGAAACTAAGAGAAATTAAGTGTCTTGGTCAAGGTAACCCAGGTATTAAATGAAATGCCTGCCTAAGGTCAAAGCTCTTGCTTTTAATCTCTACTCTGCAACAGTTGGTATTTAATAAATAGTAACAACAATAACAACATCGTGCTTAAAGAATTCCCATTGTTTCTTCAAAGCTCCATGCCTTTTTGAGTCCTGATCTTGGTTCCCACAGTTCCCCCTGACAGAAACATTCTCTCAATCACTCTTCACACACTTAGCGTGAATAACCCCTACTCATCCACCTCAG